GCCAGCCGTGGGGGAGCTGAAGTGGCAGCATAGCCTGGCCCAGCCTGGGGCAGTCTGGTCTTGGGACGCTTCAGGGACTGGCCGTAAAGCTGTGATTCGTGGTGCATCTCCACTGATGTGTTTTCTGGCTTCCATTAATTTTGAGGATCTTTTTGTAACTCCCTGGCTGCGGCCCAGGAACAGTCCTGTACCGTGTCAGAGCAGTTTGGGGTTTCTGCATGCCAGCAGTTCCTCTTTTGCAAAGGAAAATGGAGCTAGCGCTACAAGAATGCTGCCTGAGTGGCTTGTGTGTGACCTCTGGGGACACATGCAGTGAGCATGCAGCCCCAAATCTCCGCCCTGCGAGGAAGGATGGGCTGGTGCAGCGTTTCCATGCTGCTGTGGGTCATCCTGCACAGACCAGTGTTCCCTCTGATGTCAGTTGACCAAAACTGCTCTCCCAAGCTGCAGCAGAGGCTCCAGCGCTGCGTCTGGAAGGTGTTTGTTCCTGAAGCCTCCAGGAACGTTTCTTCTCTCCTTGTTCTCCAGGTGACCCTTGCAAAAATGCGCTCCCACGTCTCGTCCTGTGCGAAGGTGCAGGAGCAGATGGCCAACTGCCCCAAGTTCGTTCCCGTTGTCCCCACGTCCCAGCCTATTCCCAGGTACCGCCACACATCGGGTAGGGAAAAGTGTCCCTTCTTGCAGACTGCACTGGCGCTTCCCTCCCTTACCAGCCCTAAAGTCCAAGCATGTGTTTTGCTTTCCACTGGGCAATCACAGGGAGAAATGTCAGCACCTTTTCCCTCCAGGCATCTGCAGCCCCTGTGCTGCCCTGTGTTTTGGAGGAAGGACCAAGCCAGGGCGGTTCAACCTGCACTGGGGTGGGAATGGGCTGGTCTGGTTGCTGCTATGCATGGGTGTTACAAAGCTGAGCAGGGGGTGGCTGGGTTAGTTTGGAAGGAGTGGATTTAGTCCCTTCCCTAGGGGATCTGAGCTCGTCCTTGTTCTCTTTAGCAATATTCCCAATCGCTCAACGTTTGTGTGCCCGTACTGTGGGGCCCGGAACCTGGACCAGCAGGAGCTGGTGAAGCACTGCATGGAGAACCACCGCAATGACCCCAACAAAGTGGTGAGCGACGCCAGGGTGCTGGGACAGGCTAGTTCTGTGCGGGGTAACTCCTGGAAATCCAAATACACCATAGCTGGTGCTGCATCCGAGGCCACCAGCATGCAGAGCTGCTGCTGCACACAAAGTACAGCTATATTTCCAGCTCATCTGTTTTAAATCCTTTTGATGGGAGGTGGGGACCTGCCTCTGTTTGCTTTGCTAGAGCCTCTCTGGAAGGAGCTGCCTACATCCCCCTCTGCCCACAACCCGGGTGGTGCAGGATTTCCTCTCCCCTCTGGGGAATTTGTAGCTCCAGCACCATCTCAGAGGCGCTTGTGCGTGAACAAGTAACTTGTCAGCAGGCTAAAAGCAGCCTGGGTCACTTGCCAGAGGCTCTGTGCCCCAAGGGATCTGCTTGGGGGGCATGGTGGGAGGCCCCCCTTCTTTAGTATATCCTCTGTGAGAGAGGGAGGACCACTGCTCGTGTAGCCCCTCCCCGGGGGGTGAGACAGAGGCAGAGGGGTCTGTGCCCACCAGTCGTGGTTCCTCTTTGTCCCTGCCCGCTGCAGGTGTGCCCAGTCTGCTCAGCCATGCCCTGGGGGGACCCCAGCTACAAGAGCGCCAACTTCCTCCAGCACCTCCTCCACAGGCACAAGTTCTCCTACGACACCTTCGTGGTGAGTACGGCCCTGAGCTGAAACATTCATCTTCCCCGTGTCCCACCTGGAGCGGCTGGGAGATGAAACCAGCCCTTCCCTTGGACGCCAGGACCGCCTGTCCTGCTGTGCAGCCCCTCAGGAGGGGAAGGGGATGGTTCCTCCTCTGAGCTTTGTGGGAGGCACATGGCACATGTGTAGCCCTGCTTGGGAGACCCCCCCGCGGGTGTGGGGCTGGGCTCCCCGCCTGCTCCAGAGGGTGCTCCTCGTCAGACACACCAGGAAATCTCTGGAGGAGGAGAGGGACATGTTACGCTCTCTGTGAAGATGGGTTGTTTCATTAAACTCTTCCCCTGGGGATTTGTAACACAAAAGCCCTTTTCTTTGAGGCTTTGCAAGTAGTGGGAGGGGAGCAGCCCAGCCTCGGGGCTTGGGGGGGTCTGGCTGCTGCGTGTGGGGGGTGTCCATGGCCCCCCTTGCGGGGCGGGGGGGTTGCTGACCCCTCCTGTATGGGGGTAAGGGTGTGATTGCCCAGCCTTGGCTGCACGGTCCGAGCGGAGGTTTTGCTAGCATCCTGCTTTTACTGCAGGGACCCTAGATTTCAGGGAAAGGAACCTCCAACTATTTACAGAGAAATCTCCCCACTTAGGGAGCGACCGCTGTGTTGCATAAACCCAAACCGGAGCTCTGGAGAGGCCCGTGGCCGTGCTAGAAAGCTTTGCCTTTTGGCCACAGCGTCTTGCCTGGGCATGTTTCATCCCTGCCCGCCACCAGGTCTCAGAGCAGGGCTGACACTGGCAGATTCCAGGCAGGAGAGGGACCGTGTGGGCACAAAGGACACCCCAAAAAGCATTCCTGGGACCTGTTTGCCAGAGGAGATGGAGGCTCGCAGCCTTGGAGGGACAGCAAGGAGCAAGAAGGGCTCCTTGCCACGGCCACCCCCCTGCTTGATGAAAGCTGTGACTCCTGACAACTCTTCTGACCGCCTCTCTTTTTTTTTTACTATTTTTTTAGGACTATAACATCGATGAGGAGGCAGCGTTGCAGGCTGCCCTGGCACTGTCGCTCTCTGAGAACTGAGGGGGGCTGCGGAGCATCGGTTTGGACCCCCATCATACCCCGTCTCCTTTTGCACACTCAGCCTTCCTGCAGGGGAGGCACGGCGCTCGTCAACCCCCCGGAGACCCACTGCCGCCTCTTCCCTCTCCTCTCTGGGCAAATCCCACCTTGTTTCAGAAGGTGGAGTCTCTTTAGCGTCGCGCTGGACTGGTGAGTGAGCAGAGACATCCGGAGAGAGGAGTCTGTGCCGAAGGGCTGGGATCGTTCCTTGGTTAGGCATTTCATATCCGTATACGGAGTATATACCTGTATCCAGATCTATTTATTATTAGATGCTTTTTGGCACCGTCTGTCTTCATGCTCTCTGTTGCAATCGAATAGGTACGTAAAACCGTGATGCATTTTCTGCAGAAATGCCCTAGTTTGAAACTGCGATCGTCCACGTCCTTTTTGAAAGGGAAGAAAATCGCACGGAGCAGCTTTTTATTTGATTTTATTTTATTTTTTAAACCCTACGAGGTTATTTCCAGAGACTGTCCCATCGCCCCAGCTGCCTCCTTTGCCTGCTACTGCGCAGGCCGGGCTGCATCCCAGGGCGAGACCAGTTGCCCTGCTGTGCCCCATGGTGGCGGTGGGTTCGGAGGAGTCCGCGGGGACGGCGTCCGGTGTCCAGTGAAACCCTCACCTTCCTCGTTTTGTACCGGCTCTTGTGATACTGAGTTCTTGCATTTTTCTACATTAATCGGCGTGATGCCTTTTCCACGTTTTATAGAGTGGGAACAGAAGCTGTTACTCTTCACACTGCAATATCCGTCACCGGGGACAAGAGTATTTTTATGGAACATTATTAAGAAAGTATATTTTTAAAAAAAAAAAACAAAACCAAAACCCAAACGAACGAACATGCTGTGGATTTGAAATCAGGCGGGAGGCAGGAGCCGGAGCCCGGTGGGACTCTGTGGGAGCCACGGGGAGCGTGCGGGTGTCCTTTTCGGTTATTTCTGGGCTGTTCCCTTCTCGGCGTGTTTCTCGGCAGCGGGCGGTGATGCGGGAGAGGCCAGGGCAGAGCAGCACCTCGCCGACGGGAGGAGCGGGTGCTGAGCGGCGCACTGGGCTGCTGTTTTGAGGAGCAGCAGCACCTCTTGCGTTCTCCGCTTGGCCAGCCCTGCTCTCTGAGCTGCCAACCCTCTCCCGGGCGGGTGCTGGGGCTCGGGATGGCTTAACCCTTGCAGGCAGAGCTCCGTGGCGGAGCTGGATGTGGCCGCGGGCCGGGTGTGATCGGGAGCAGTGATTTTCTTGTCTGCAAGCGGGCAGGTTAGTTGTGCTGTGCTGGCACTCGGTGTGGAGCAGCTGGGTTGTGTCTGGGCGATGGGCATGCGGGAGGGACGTCTGCCCGTGCAGGATCCCATCCCCAACACTGAGCATCTCATCCCCCTCAAATAGGGGATTGCATCTCCCTTTGCCAGGTCTTTCCTTGGGAATAGAGCACACTTGGGCACATGTTGATCCCACAGATGCTCCTATAGCATCCCAGTGGCCTGTGTGCCCCCCAGTCCCCTTTCTCTCTGTCCTGCCTCCTGCTGGTGGGGTTTGCTGGGCTGGGAGAGGGTGGAAGGGAGATCTCCCCCGCCGGGCCTTGGGTGGGCTGCTGCCAGCCTGCGCAGGGGCTCCCCCTTGTGCAGCAGAAGTCACCTCCCATCCGAAGGGTCATCGTAGGTGCTGGGCGGGGAGAGGAGCTGGGTGCTGGGACCCTGCCACCCTTCAGGGTTGCACCAGTGACGGGTGGGATCAGCCCAAGGCTCACGGTGAAGGAACTGTGGGGAGATGGTGATTCGCGGTGCCTGCAGACCTGCCGTGCCACCTTCCAGCAAGGGTCTGCTGAGAAGAGGTGTGGGAGAGCGATGCCTCTGCACGGCCCTGCTCGGAGAAGTGCCCTTCCGTGGTTTATCTGAGACCTGGCTCCAGCTCTGCTCTAGCAATACTGTCTTGGTTTTTTACTTTTGATTTACATAGTACTGGGTGGTTTTGGGGTGCTGTGAGCCTCGCCCAAGCCGGCGGCAGCCCTACGAGGAGTGTGCAGAGACCTTCCACTCCCCTGGCAGAGGGCAGGGAAAGGGCTAGAGCTGCTCTGCTCCCCTCCCCTGCCTCCAGCTGGGCTAGCGAGGAGGGACGGGGGCTTCTCCTGCCAGCCAGCGCAGCATCGCTGGCACCTGCCCAGCCTGGGGACAGAGACTGCTGGAATCTCCCCAAAAGGGACCCGGAGCCAGAGCTCTCGCTTGCAGGGAGCTCCCTGCCTCTGCGCCAGCACTATTAACCTCTGTCTCCTTCCTTCCTTCCTCTTTTCACCCCACAAGGCCAGAGCAGGGGCAGCCACCGCTGCTTTTGTAAAGCACTTTAAGGGCGCGGGGCCGGCGCTGCGCTGCACGGGCACCTCCTGCCTCCTCCCCGCTTCGCAGGGGGTCGGGTCCGGCTCTGCCGGCTGGGCTGTGCCGGGGGTCCCGCCGTGCCGCCGGCCGTGCTCCTCGGTGTGTTACCCATGACTTTTTGCATAACTAGAACTTTTAATGAGACCTGCTGTTTTTTGAAGAAGAATAAAATCAATGACGTATTTGTAGCAAACCATTTTTCTCAATAAAGGCAGTTTCATCCACGGGTGGCCTCCCTGTGCGGTCTCTGCTGTGGGGTGCAGGATGCAGCTGGGGGTGGGTGCCCCCCTCACCCTGGTTTATCTGGGCTGCTCCTTCCCCAAACATGGGGCTTGATTTTTTACAGCTTCGTCCACAACTCATCAACTCCTGTTAATGGCAGCGGTGCCCCTGCGGGGTTGGGCAATGCCATTTCATCACCCCGGGGCTCCCCCACCTCACTCACCCAGCCCTTATCTCCCCCAGATCAAGCGCTTTGCTTCCCGGGGCTGGGTGTTGCCAAACGTGGGGGGGGGGGATCCCCCCGCACCCCTCCTGGCACCCCCCTGGCTTTCTGTGCCGCTGCCAGCAGCCTTGCCCCCTCCCTGGCAGCTGGGTCGTGGTGCTCAGAGGGAGGATGTTTGGCACCAGGCGCTGTCCCCAAATCCCCGCTGGGTGCTGGCCAAGGGAGCGCAGCGCGTGTTTCTTTTCCGGGTGTCCCTGGGAGGTGTCCTGGCTCCCAGCCCCTCCGGGGCTGTTGGGGTTCCCCGGGGACACAGGCTGGGGGACAGCCCCTGGGAGCAGGCGCTGGTGTCCCCTC